TGTGTGTGTGTGTGTGATTTTTTTCTGCTTGCAGCTCCGTTCTTTCAAGGCTGCCTGTCTGAAAATACTCTGGATGAACTAAATATCGAATTGCTGCGCAATAAACTGTACAAGGTAACTATTTCCCTCAAATAATAGTTTTTTCTTTCCTTTGCAATAATCCATAACTAGAGGTCTTCATTAAAACTTACTTTTTCTGTGAGCCGATTTCAATGGTGTTGAAACAATACATATTTATAGTATAGCTCTTAATATCCAAACCTGCCTTCTCATTAAATACGTACACGTCAGCTTTCCTCAGTGAGGAGGATTTTGAAGAGAAAGAAGCAAGCCTCACTCTTCCCCATAGCCCTACCTCCTTGCACAGTGCTTGGAATGTACACAGTGCTGGAGGGATGGGTGGGTGGATAGATGATGGAGGGGAACCCAATAAACTCATTTTAAAGCCACCAGCATACACAGTGAACCTTCTGTTATCTGGTATTCATCTCTGCCTTTGATCTTCTGATAGTCCCCGAATCTCCAAATTCAGTTGCCCAGACAATTTTAATCTGAGTGTGCAGCATGCCAGATGACTTCCTTATATATATGTATGCGGCACACTGTGCAGAAATACATGGCCTTCCCAAAGCATCATATAACAGCCTTTATATCGAGACATCTGGGCTCAGAAAAGGCATTCTTGAGACATGGCTAACAAAGATATTGTTCTAAGCAATACATAGGTGTTGCAATCCACTCAGGAAAATGTTGATATTTGTGCTGTCCCATTCCTCAGATAAGAAAACTGAGACAAGAAGAGATGAGGTTTAGTTAACAGGAGCTCACAACCTCCTAAGTTATAGAATTGGAATTCAAATACAGGTACCTGGCCCTACAGCCTGAATGTGTGCCTCTCTAAAACATCCTCCATTCTCAGAGCCATCCAAAATGTGTATTCTGGGCACCATGTCAATTTTATATATAACCAAATTTGGTTCTGGACATTTCAAGCCATGGTACTCTTGTTAGAACAAGACATAATCATATGAAATAATCTGAAAACCAAGCTGTGTTAGGCTACCTGGTCTAGAAAAACAAAACCAGTGAGGCTCATATACATAGGAGGAAAAAACCTCATATCAAGAATTAATTTTATATCCAGAAGGCGTCCCAGCCCAATCCCACTCAAGTCCACGAGTCCTAGGCGAGCCAGAGCCCTCTTCAGACTCACATGCTGCAGGTCATGACACAAAGAGCTGAAGCAGGGAGCACGGAGGTCACAGGCCAGGAGGTGCAGAGTCACGTGTGTCCAAGCCTGGTGGAAACGTGGCAGGGCACCAACAGCTCTCTAGGTCAGCGGCCCCCATGGTGCGACCCCTAGAGGCAGACACAGCGTTCCAAGGGGGAGGAAGGCAAAGGGGCAGTGAGACCCACATTCTCACTCTACAAAAGGCCACACCCACAGGGAGGCAGCCACCGGGTTGACAGGTCAGACTCTGCCCCTACCTACACACAGACGCAAGTTGACATAAAATATAACCACCACACATACCCAAACCAAAAATAAGTAAATGTTAACTAGATATGATTAGTACAACTGAGTTTTTTATTTTAATGGCATTCTCCTTTTAGTCTGTGAAACATGTTGCTATGGGGGAAAAATTGTACCAAAGTTATTATAAAATACCTCCCTATGGGAGAAGTATTTCAATTTCCATTGAAGCATTTTATAAGCCTTGGAAGGCTTATCAAGAAATCCTCTAAAGGAAAATATGTTTATTGTTTTATTATCTTTCTTTTTAAGTCTTATCTTGAAGCATTCTATAAATTCTGTAAGAACCATGGTGATGTCACAGCAGAAACTATGTGCCCAATTCTTGAGGTAAGAGTCCTTGAATTTTTAAGTACTAAATAATACACTATACACTTTTCATTTATTTATCCCTGTATTTCTTCTTTTTAGCTCTAAAAGCTCTTTATCTAAAGCTAAAATCAACAATTAGTGTGTGCACGTGTGCATGCGCGTGTGTGCGTGTGTGCGTGTGTGTGTGTGTGTGTGTGTGTGTGTGTGTAAAGGCAGGGGAAAGATGAGGCTATCTGCTCCCACAAAGGTTTAAAGCCTTGAAAACCATATGCAGTATTTAGGGTGATGAGTTAATTCCATGGCAGTGGGCTTTGTCTTTGTTTAAGTATATACACGTGTGTACTATAGAATACATAATCAATATACTAAACACAATTATATGTGTAATCATTTTATGTCTTCGATTAAGAGTAATAATCCCAAGTTTTCCACATAGAGAAGTTGTTTGGGAATTATTAGATGAAATGCCTAAAAATGTGTGGTCATGACTCATTTTGATGTAGCTTATAAAAAGTAGATTATACTTGGTCAAAATTTTGGTAGGCTGTTGGTAATTGGTGGATGATAGCGAACTGTCTATATGTAACACTCATAATAAACACCTGATTCTCCCAATTAGGGAATCTTGGGGAACCCCCAAATCCAAACCCCACTGTGGCCCCACGCACTGGGACCTATTCCCAACAGGCTGCCCTAGGTAACGGTTGTGCACTCTGAGCAGGAAGCCCCGGGAGTGAGAGAGCCACAGCTGACAAGCTATCAACCGCGCGAAATGTCCTCAGGGATTTCTACCTCTTCAGTTGATGGGATACCGATTTTAATTCCTCTTTATCACGACAGCTTTTATCTGTGAACAGGAGTTCTCTTGCTTCCTAATATTGAACGGCACTTTGAATTTTCATAAGCCTTTGCTTTACTCTGTGAAACTAAAGTTTCATCTAAAGACTCTCTCATCGTTAGATTTTCTATTGTAATAACTTCATCAGTGGGTAGATGTTTAGATAAATTGAATGACTTCTCCAATTTCAAGAGAAGCCTGATAACTATTACCCTTTGGGCAAAAAAGAAAAAGAAAGAAACAGAATAACTTTGCATTTATTTTGCCTAATGTTGTAGAACAATGTATGATAAAGTTAATTTCCCTTAAAGCATTAACATTTTGCAGTTGAAGTTTCTCTGCAACCCCCGTTGACATTTTCAAAACAAAGTCAAAATAGTCCTTGAAATAAAATTTCTTACTGAAGAAGGAGCCCTGGTGGCACTGCAGGTGAGACATTGGGCAACTAACCTCAAGGTCAGTGGTTCAAATCCACCCAATGCCCCATGGGAGAAAGATGAGGCTGTTTGCTCGCATAAAAATTTACCATCTCAGAAACCCCATCCTGGCTCCAGAATTTCTGTGATTATACAGTACACCACATTACTGTGGTATCAAATTTGCCATTCACAGTGATTTTTGTGTCAAAGGAAGTGCTGTCACAAGCAAGCTCGTTGTTTTTGTTGTCAGGTGCTACTGAGTTGGTTCTGACGAATTAGAGCAACAAGAAAGCCCAGCACTGTGTTATGTAAACCTAGCAGTGTCAACAGGACAGTATGTGGCTCAAAACTAGCTCCCACTGATAGGAGGGCTCAAACTACTGTATGCCGTGTCCTCACGGTCCCTTCATTCACCAGGAGACCTACCACCCCATTAGTTACACATCTAGAGCGAAAACCCAGCTACAGGGCGTGCGGTTTCAGCCCTTCTCATTATACAAGAGGTGTGTCCATTTTATGTAACTATTTTAGGCTATGAACAACCCCCCCATCCCACCCACCCCCACCCCCCACCCCGCATGATTTGCACAACTGAGAGCACTTAGAGTTTATCAGCTTCTCTATACATTCTCATTCAAACTCACTTGTCAGGAGACTTCAGGAAGAAGATCATTAGCCTAGGTTTGCATGGGGAAATTGGACCTAAGTACACAGTTATAACTTTATATGAAGAAAAAGGAAACGAAAAAACAGAAGGACACTAGCCGGTGTTCCAGGCAAACGCACCGGAGCGTACTGTCTGTCCCCTCCTGCCCTCCAGGAGTCTGTGTGGCTAATGAAACTGGACGAAAAGCCAGGACAGAATGTGTTTGCTTTCTCCCCGCTGGTCAGCACCCACTGCTGGCAAAGTGGGCCTTGATTCCAGCTCATCTCACCCTCCTCGTCCCTGGCTGTCCACGCCTCGGCTCACTCGCTCCCACCACGTCCACGTTTTTTATCAATTTAATTACACACCACTCATTCAGTGACTCAAAAGTACCGTTGCTAGCTGGCATAATTCTTGTGGTTTAAAAATCACTTGTAGATTTCAAATAATATAATGTATCAAATGGGCACAAATGTATGGCCTGATCAGCCTATGTCTGCATGTGCAGCTAATACTAATTTTGAAGGAGTTAGTTCACAAGTCAGCAGTATATCCTTCTTCTTTTATTTATTTATTTGAAACAACAATGACCATTAAGTTTTGGCTTTAAAATGGATGTCTGTAAGAAGAAGTTAAAAAAAAAAAAGTAGAGAGAGAAGACATCCAAGTTACACTGCCAAGAATTCACACACAATATTCACAAGTCGAGTTCAAAAAACAGTCAGGATACAGACATTGGTCTCCTCAGCCAAGAGCCAAGTCTTTCTCTGGTTCTCAGTCTCCCAGCCAAGTCTCTCTGTGGTCCTCACCTGAGTCATGCGGTCCCTGGGTCTTTGCCTCCATGGGCCAGGAAGCCAGTCTGCCGGTGGCTCTGCCCCCACAGTTCATTGTCTCGGCCAGAGGATGACAACTTACTCACAGTCTCCAGGCTGTTCCTCCGACTCTCTGTGGCACAGTCTCTGTGACATCTGGTCTCAGCAGCTTCTGCCACTTGAGACAGGGATCTTGGACATGCTCTCCCAAGGTCCCTCGGGTTTCTCTCTGGTGCTCCTTCAGAGATGGCTCATCACGACAGCCAGGGGGGCGGAGTGGTGACAACACTGATCAATCCCCTCTTAGTGGTACACACGCCGTCTTTGCATAGTCCCACCTAATTATTTGGTGGGAGTTACAGAGAATTGGATAGAAAAGCCATATTAAGAAATTTCACACCACCACACAGGGGTTACGTGATACAAATATCATGCCACTTACTCTTCTCTGCAATCAGAGGGAAGGAGTCCTGGTAGCATCTCAAAACTCAAACTCACTGCCATCAAGTTGATTCCTACTCATGTGACTCTATAGGTTAGGGTAGAACTGCCCCCGTGGGTTTCCAAGACTGGATTTCTTTATGGGAACAGAAAGCCTCATCTTTCTCCTGTGGAGCAGCTGGTAGTTTCCAACTGCTGACTTTGCAATTAGCAACCCAACAAAGTCCTACAAACTGGACTGCTGACTGCAAGGTCAGACCTTCAAACCCATCAGCCACTCCATCGGAGAAAGGTGAGGCTTTCTGCTGCAGGGGAAACACACAGCAGTACTTCCACTCAGGCCTGCAGCGTCATTGTGAGTTGAAGTGGACTCAATGGCAGTGAGGTTGCTCTTGGTTTGGTCATCAGACGTTGTCTTAGTCTAGGTTTTCTAGAAGCACAAAACTGGTGACATGTACATATAAGGAGAGAGAGATTCTAAGGAAATGGCTCATGCTATTGTGGAGGCTGGCAAGTTCCAAATCTATGGGTTAGTGGCAGATTGGAGGCTTTTCCTGACTCTACAAGTCAGGTGACAGGTTTCTGGCTCCCAAGGCTATGAGAGTTGGCAAAGCCAAAATGTGCAGGTCAGACAGCAGGCTGTTGGCTCACTTCCTAAGAACCAGAGGCTAGAGGATGATGAAGTGAATGCCGATCCAGAGAGGGTGAGCTTTGTTATAACATCCATGCTAGAGAAAATTCCATTCCCTCTCTCTCTTTTTTCATTTTTTTAAAAACAAAACTTTTCATTGTGAGTTGATGAAGGTTAAGAAGGCAGAGCATAGTTTTACATGTAACAATTCATATTCATTCTGAGTCAACACACCCATTGCAATCCCCTCCATTTACCAACATTTACCCTATTTCCTCCCAGTGTTAGGAAATATCCTATTTGTCTTCTGGTCAATACTGCCCTTTTAATCTTAAGTGGTTGGATACTCATATGTAGTGATGGGTGCAGTTCCAGACTGGAAGGGTGACTAGGGGCCATAGTCCCAGGGATCCCACCAATCTCTACTTGAGCAGTAAGCCTTGTCTCTTTTATGATGTTGCGTTTGTTCCACGCTTTTCTCTCATTCTATCCGGACCTCTCTAATGTGGTCATTCTCAGAGTAGCTGGCAGTGGTAGCCAGGCACTTTCTACTTCTGCTGGTCTTCGGGTTGTGGAGACTGAGGTCTGTGTGGCCCACTATTCCATTGGACTAATTGTTTCCATGTGTCTTGTGATTCCCAACACTCTCTGTCCTCAGGACCAGTTGGTTTGCCTTTGATGGCTGCTCATGAGTTTTAAAGACCCAGGTAGCCAAATTAGGCTACAGAGCATTGTCTTGACCCAATATCTTTTTATTCAATTTTGGCATGAATTTTTGAAACCACTTTATAGATTGGATGTAGGCTCTATCCCAAAAGACACTCCCCTTTCAACGCCATTGGCTTTGCACATCAGATCACAGCAAGAACCAGGCCCTACTCCAGCTGACACATAGCATTAACCATCACAAGTGGCATGCCTTTCTGCTTAGAGGCTGTCAAAGAACAGTATTATGTTTTTACAATCCCTAAAGTATAGTTACTTTCAAGAAGAGGTTACATACACTCACACACGAAGGGTTTCTAAACCAGAAAAGCAGAGTAAGGTAGACACACAGGCAAAATGAGTGAAGGGGCAAATTAAAGTGTAATAGGCCTTCAGAGGAAATCATATCCAATTAGAGACAAAATAGATGAGGAGGCACATTGAGTAGAGTTACGACTTCAACATGCGAAGTTAAGAAATGAAACAATGTGGGGCATCGTGCAGACAAGAGGAAGAAACATTACCAAAGCCAAGGAGTTGGACAGTATGTGCAGGATTCAAGTAACCTGTTTTATCAATCTTTTGCCACGGGATATATTGTTCTTCTGGTCTCTCCCCAACTATCTGTCCATCATCCTACTTCTACTGCTCCTCCAACGTTTGAGTGATGGCTATCGCCCTCCCCCTCAACATGTCCAGAATGGCCTCTGCTGCCTCGCATGCCTGCAGGGCAGCCTCCACAGTCCCATTCCCCGCCCCCCACCTTAAAATCCTAAGAACTCATTAGAACTAGAAAACTCTTTAAAGAGCATCTAAGCCAGTCAGAGCCATCAAATTAATGCTGGCTCCCAATGACCCTGTGGGAGTTTCTGAGACTGTACCTCTTGATGGGAGGAGAAAGCCCTGGGATAGAGCCTTTTCCTGGGCAGGTTTAAACCACTAAGCTTTCAGCTAGCAGCTGGCTGCTTCTCCTATCCTTGAGAACAAACCTAACTCCAACTCATGGAAAGTCTAGAGGACACCATAGAACTGCCCCATAGGTTTCTAGGTTGTGATCTTTATGGGAAGGATCCCTGGCGGTGGTATGGGTAAGAATTAGACTGCTAACTGCAAGGTCAGCAGTTGAAAGCCACCAGCAGCTCAGCAGAAGAAAGATGAGGCTGTTGGCTTCCTGAAAGTAAATTTAGGCTTAGTCACTGGGAGTCCGAATTGACTTGATGGCAGTGGGAATCTACGGCAGCAGACCGTCACATCTTTCTCCTGTATAGTGGCTGGTGGATTCGAACCTCTAGCCTTTCTGTAGGTTAGCTGCTGAGTAGCTTAACCACTGAGCAAGTAGGGCTGCTTCTCTTATCCCTCAGGAAAAAGAAACCTATTACTGCTGGCTATTAGTGACCCTGTATATAGAGCAAAGTAGGACTGTTCCCTAGAATTTCCAGGATTGTGATTCCTTAAGTACGGCCTTATCTTTCTCCCACCCAACAGCTGGCAGGTTTGAACTTCTGTTGGCAGTCCAAGGCTTGCTCCTAAAATTATGCCAGGACTAGTTGTACGTCAGTAACCAGAGGCAGCTGCCTTTGCTTCCCAGTAAGGCCACTCCCTGCTTCAGGCTCACCCATACTTTCCATGAGGCCCAGCAAAGAACAGCCAGACCTGACTCTCAGACTCCTTCTGATAGGAAACACCTGTTCTCAGCAAAGAGTTCCAGTAAAAGCTGTTACAAACCTGGTATTGTTACTGGTCAGTTACTCATAAAGTAGGCAGTTTAAAACATATCGTCGAACAATACTTTCTTCTGCCTTACTGCCGATAATTCACCTAGGACTCATAAGAAAATACAGATTCCGGTTCAGTTGGTCTGGAGGACAGCCTTAGACTGCATTTCTACCAAGCCAACAGGAAATGCCCAACAGAGGGTCCATGAAACACATATTGAGTAGCAACTTCATAAACAATACTGGAGGATTTCAAAAGTGTAGGATCATGCTTGAGCCCACAAACAGTTAAGATCTTATGTGTGAACCCTGGATCTTGAAAACTGAGTGATGAACACGAGATGTGGCTTCTCAAAGATTTTACCTTCTACTGGAGAGAAAAATAACACAGATTTTAAATACATCTTGTGGTGAGTTCAAGAGCCCTGGTGGTGTAGTGGTTATGTGTTGGGCTGCTAACTGCAAGGTCAGTGGTTTAAAACTACCAGCGGATCCACAGGAGAAAGGATGGGCTTTCTACTCCCATAAAGAGTTACAGCCTTGGAAACTCACAAGGGGGCCCTTCTACCCTGGGGTTCTACCTATGGGGTTGTTATATGTTGCCATTGACTCGATGGAAATGGGTTTGTTTTGTTTTTGGTGGCCAGTTCAGTTGGCTTTGGATCTACAGAGAAGAGTTTCTTAGCCCAAGGACATGCCCTCCTATGTGATGGACTGAGGATAAGTGGAGAGACAATGGTCAGAGCTCATAGTAGCAGACCTTAAGAGACAGTAGAAATATGGAAACAAAAGTAATCAAGGAGTACCAGGGTGAGATGCAGCTGAGAAGCCTGATGTGTGCTTGGGAGCTCACGTGTCCAGCATGCACACACTATATGTGAATATATGGCCAGGAGTTTCTGGGGACCTACCTTAAAGATCATACAACCAAACACCATCATCTTACAAATAAAGAAACTCAATTCCTGAGAAAAAGATAACTTGCTCTAAGCCACAGAATCACTAGCTACAGAGCTGGTTGATTAACACCTAACCTCAACCCCCCCCCCCAAAAAAAAAACCCCTCACAACCATTGAGTTCACAGTGACCCTCTAGGACTAAGTAGAACTGTTCCTTGAGTAAGGTGATCAGATTTAAAGCGGGACACCACTGACCGGGGGGTGGGGGGGGTGTTTCTTGATTAAAAAATTGGTCTATATGGACCAAATAGATTGTTCCCTAGCTTGTCGTGCATTCTTTCCAAAAATCGGGAATTTTTTAAAACGGCAAAAATTGGGACTGTCCCGCCAAAAGCAGGACATCTGGTCACCTTATTGAGCTTTCCCAGACTTCAAATCTTTCCAGGAGAAGACAGCCTCATCTTTCTCCCACATCTAACCTAGGATGGTAACAAGAATACAAACCAGGAGAGTGCCTGAAAATGGTAGGTAGCACAAGGTTTACTCTATGAAAAGTATGGTGGCATCCCCTATTAGAGTGGGTAAACATTGGACTGCTGACTTCCAGGTGGGTGGTTCAAACCCACCAGCCGCCCCATGGGAGAAAAATGGGGCTATTTGCTCCCACAAAGATTTACAGCCTTGAATACTCGATCCATAGTCCCTCTGAGTCAAAATGGGAGACCTGGTGACATAACAGGTTTGGGCTGCTAATCACAAGGTCAGCCATTTGAACGTACCAATCGATCTGCTTGAGAGAGATGAAGACTTCTACCCCTGTAAGATTTACAGCCTCAGAACTCCCAGGGGCTCTGACTCTGTGCTCTACAAGCTCAGTGCAAGGCCAGCACTCGTCACTCTCTTCCGCAGGCCAGCATGAGTCAGAACCAACTGGGCTTTTTGTCCATGCACTTCTCCTTCCAAACATTCTGCTAGCAACTGCTCCTTGCACGTTGTCTACTTCTATCCCTGAAAGAATAAAACAAGTATTATTTGTCCCGATATTATGGAACAGACTCCAGTGGAGTTCATGAGAGACACTTAAGTAACTAATTGCAGGGTGCCTGGGAAATAAAATCCAATCAGACTTCAAGAGTTGTCAAAGCCCGTTGTCTCCACTGTGTGATCCTTTGTTTCTGGTAAGTGAGGCTGCTCCATTGTAGAATGAGTCTAAGAGAGCATGCTGAATAATATGCTTGATAACACATGTTTGTATTATAAATAGACACCGATCTGGAAAGGATAGTAAATAGTTTCAGAAATTAATTTCCCTAGTGAAAGAGTTTGACTGACAGCATTTAATAGATGATTCATTTGTACTGACTCCTGTTCTACACACTCAGTTTGAGGCTGACAGACGTGCCTTCATCATCACTCTCAACTCCTTTGGCACTGACTTGACCAAGGATGACCGGGAGTCCCTGTACCCAACCTGTGGCAAGCTCTATCCTGAGGGTCTGCACCTGCTGGCTCAAGCCGAAGACTTTGAACAGATGAAGAGAGTCGCGGATCATTATGGAGTACGTGCTAATACTGGGGTCTCTTCATGTCTCGTGATCTCCAGACAGCCTGCTATACTTCAGTATATGTGTTGTATTAGAAGCTCAGACATCAAATGTACCCTCCTTACCTAAAGCGAATGCAGTATTTTTTACCCTCTCTCCTTGTGTGTGTGAGGGGCCCTGCCAAGGAAGTATTTGCTTAATTCCCCTGTGAGTGGTCATTTGAGCACTTGTTTTGAAGTGCTTGATAAAAGCAGTTCTCCCCAGAGAGGACTGCATTGTTTTGGAAATGGGAGCTCATGTCAAAGTTATGTAAAAGAGGTTGACCCAGCAATTCGTGCAAATGTGGCTGGGGTAAATTACGCAATACAGAACAGCTACTTGGATGGCATGGGACAGTATGAGGACATGGGTTTACACCATTCCCTTTGTTCAGTGGCCAGAAATAGGGGGAGGATCAAGGGTTGCTTATGTCTTTCTCCTGCTCTAACAGCCAGCTGCTCCCGGAGAGCCTGAAGCATCCTAGCTCAGGAATATGCACCCCTTCCCCCAGACTTGCAGAGAGCAATGTACATACCTGAAGTAATTTGTCCAGATTCCGGGGGGACCCTCTTATCTTTGCCTGCATATTTCCTAAGCCTTTCAGCAAAGATAACCAGCAGCCAATTGCAATCGAGTTGATGGAGATTCCTGGCTACCCCTTGTGACCTGTGTACGTCTTAACTGCACAGAGTTTTTGCTGGCTAATATTTTCAAAGTGATTCACCGGGCCTTTCTTTCAAGGTACCTCTGGATGAATTCCAACCAGCAACCTTTCTGTTAGTAGTCAAGCAATTAACCATTTGCCTCATCCTAACTGAAAGGAGACCCCTGGTGGCTTAGTTGGTTATGTGTTGGGCTGAAAACTACAAGGTCAGCAGTTCAAAACCGCCAGCCATTCCATGGGAGCAGGATGAGGCTTCCTACTTACGTCAAGAATTACAGTCTTGGAAACCCAGAGGGGCAGTTCTATGCTGTCTCCCAGAGTTCTTATGCGTCAGAATCGACTTAATGGCAGTAAAGTCAGCAAATGGCACATAAGATTTATTGTCATAGTATTAGAATTTGAACTCCTCTCATATGTAATGACATGAGGCTTTTTAGCATAATACTAACTTTTGAGCCTCTCTCCAATTTCCCCACACGTGAACTATCATGTTCATTGTAGCAATCGTTGTAGAGCCCATATTTGACAGACCAAAAGTAGGCTAGAGAGTCTCTAAGGTGTGCCTCACTTGCCCTGATCATTTAAGTGTGGAAACTGGCTCAAACCGCATGCAGTCCATTGAGAGGAGAATTCCATTTGCCTCTTGCCTTGGGGGCCTAATAAGCCAATGGGCTAGAGTATCACCCACAGAAAGTCTCTCATCCTTTGGATTATTATTATTATTTATTTCCTTAGGAGGCCAAAGAGCCTACCAAAAATATTCAGGCCCTTCAGCATAAACTTTTTAAATCCATGCACAATTGCTATATTGCTAGGAAAATACATTCAGATACACTTATGAGCCATGAAAGTTTCTTTTTGAATAATCTCCTGTCTTTGTTTTCAAGGTATACAAGCCTTTGTTCGACGCTGTAGGTGATGGCAATGGGGGAAAGACGTTGGAGGATGTGTTTTATGAGCATGAGGTAATGATATAAACAGAAATGCGATTACCCTGTGTAATCTTTTATTTTTTTCCTTACTCAGCATTTTAAATGTTTCCTTAATTTGCATTTTCTTTGTACAATTGGTTGAGACCGTTGACTAAGCACATTTCCAGTTTGTCAGGGAATAAACCCACTGCCTGGGTAAAGACAAGGTTGAGCTACTCCATCGGATTTCAGAGACTAAAACTCTTTGCAGGTACAGGCAGCCTCATCTTTCTCCTTTGGAACAGCTACTAGGTTTGAACTGTTGGCCTCGCCATCAAGATCCCAAAGCTTACCCCAGGCTTCTTTGACTAGACATACTGATCCGACTGCCACCGAGTCTGTGCTGACTTAGAGTAGAACAGTTCCCTAGGGTTTCGGAGACTGTCAATCTTTAGAAGCAAACAGCCTCATCTTTTCCCCATGGAGCCACTGGTTTAAAGCACCGGCCTTGGAATTACAGCCCAGTGCCTCGCTCACGGGGCCACCCTTGTTCGTAGTCACCTGATGTGTCCTTGTGGGCGCGACAAAGCCCTGATTCATGTGCAGATACCTCACTCCAACAGATGTACACAGAAGGACGCTCTGGAGGGATTGCAACTGTGCAACAAATACGTTAGGACCTCTGCAGGATCAAATACTAACTGTCATGATAATCACACTATCAGTAAATCTGCCCCATGCTTTCTTCAAGAAGGGAGCGGATCATGGTTATTATCTTCGGTACACCTGTATCTCTTAGGAATTATTTGTACAAATATCTCTCCAAAGTCATTACATTTTGTTTCCCCAGGAAACGCAGGAGAATATGTAACCCATTTGTAATTTACTGCTCAGTCACTGTTTAGGTCGATGAAAAATGTTTGGTACCAGGTAAGATCCCTCAAATCTAGAGAAATTCCCCATTGCATTTTACTCTCTTTGTGTGTGAAACCAGTAGTGCTTCCATTGCAACCCGACTGGTACCATCAAAACCCACAAGTCAAACTCACAGCCACTGAGTCCATGTTGACTCACAGCGACCCTATAGGAGAGGGTAGAGCTGCCCCACGGGTTTGCAAAACTGTAATCTTTACAAGAGTAGAAAACCTCATTCTTCAACCATGGGGCAGCTGGGAACAAGCTGCTGACCTGGCAGTTAGTAACCCAATGAGCAACCACTACGCCGCCAGGGATGGGAACAATCCAAGAAGCCCGACATTTGCTTACCTTGAATCGTTAGATTTGATCCAGGAAGTAGTGTAGTATCTTCCTCTGGGGCCTTCTTTGTGGGGTTTTTGAGCACCTCTCCAGTAGCTGTCGTGGAAAGAAGTAACATGATTTAAGTGAATAGGTTGGGGATGCTTTATAATCCCATGTCGTCGTTGTATTCTGCTGCAAGGGAGGCTGCTTAAAAGGCTGCCCTGTGCAGAAAACATGAGGGGGGTTCAAAACGTTGGTAGGAAATTTTCAGGATCCTTTCATTCCATTTTCCACAAACTTCTCCCATCTGTCTCTGTTCCTGGAATCAGGAGCTTCCATTTCCTGATACCTTTGTTTGCTGGATTTTTTTTCAAAGCTGCTTGGGAAAACAGGACACTTTTTCTCCTGTTTCCATTCTAAGTGTCAAAGTGGAAAAGAACAAAGGAGGAATTCCATTCAGATGTCTCCAGTTTAAGACACATTTTTTTAAAATAAAGTTCCTTCTGCTCACGTGGCTTTCTGCAGAAAGCAAACTCTTGCACTGGGTGTGAAGCTGCCACAGAGTGCCCTGAGGGCGCTCGGAATATCACTCCGTCGGAGCTCCAGGGCTCTTATGACTGCCCCAAAGAGGGACAGACCGCCTACCTTTCAAAAATGGGGAAAGCTGTAGGCAAGGGAAAATATTTCACTCACCGAAATGAGATGAGTCCCTTAGCTAAAAGCCAGATAACTCCTGAAGTAAAGCCACACCCCTGCCCCACAGAGCGTTCTCCTGGGAACCTGTGTGCTGGCGTCTCGCGAGCCTTTCACACTTCTGTGTATGAAGTACAGTGTCACTACTGGTAGATTGACACCATCCCTTCAGGACTTGCTAAGCTGTCACTGCGTGCCTGTATGCGGACCGACTCAGGTCTCATCAACTTAGAAATGAGCTCTGTACAAACAGATCAAGTTCAAGCCATAGTTCAATATTATTTCATAAAAGTAGGGTATTCCAGATAAATTGAAGGTTCATGGTATTTTTTCCCCCTTCCTCAGGTCCAAATGAATGTGCTGGCTTTCAACAGGCAGTTCCACTACGGCGTGTTTTATGCATACATCAAGCTGAGGGAACAGGAAATGAGGAATATCGTATGGATAGCTGAATGCATTTCACAGAGACATCGAACTAAAATCAACAATTACATTCCAATTTTATAGGCCAAAGGCGAGCCTCAAATGCAGAAAATCTTAAATGGTAAAAGGAAGTTATAGAGGAAAATAAAAGAAATGTGTTACATTGTTTAGGATACCCACAAATAAACCATGCTGTGCCCACATAAATTGTAGAATCACTGGAAATACAAAGAACCAACTGGGAAACAAATTATTTCTTTTTTTCTAACAGCCTTAAATCTTGTGTCCACATTTATGTCTCATGGTTCACTGGCCCTGAGACTTTCATTTCTCGCTTAACCTTATCTTTTTCTTATTCTTGTTGGGTTGTATTAAAAATTAAGACTAATAGAAGCATTTTACTCTTGATTTTTCTATGCAGTTCTGCCAGCTCAAATGTTGAATGATTATTTTACTTTTTATCTGTTATTTCCTAGGTTCAAAAAGTTAAGCACTATATAGTAGCTAACATGAACCACATGTTGTATCAAATAGTGTAGTTTTTTTTCCCCAACCTAATAGTTTGTCTTGCAAAGCTTGGGAAAGCTACACAATTCTAAATGATGTGCTCTTGACGTAAGCAGTGTTCAATTTGTTATACAGGCTCCCACTTGTAGTTTTCCATAACTTTAAATAAAAGGTATCACTCTCTTTCCTGTGGATCCTACATGCTCTCTTGAGAAAGAAAATACCCACAGCTAATTGTATCTGTTGTCATATGTATTATCATAACATATTCTTATAACAAATAGCAAACATATCGTCATAACAAATTATCATAGCATATACATTGTCATAGCATGTGGTCATATGTTACATATTGTCAGGAGAGACCAGTCCCTGGAGAAGGACATCATGCTTGATAAGGTGTAGTGGCAGCAATAAAGAAGACCCCGCAATGGCTATGTCAATGGGCTCTGGCACAGGAACCACTGTGAGGATGGCACAGGACCATGTAGTGTTTCGTTCTGCTGTGCGTAGTATTCCTATGGGTCAGAGCTGACTCCCTGGCACCTAACAACAACAATTGTATCTCGTTCATGAGGAAGCATAAATAACAGAATCATATATGAGGGGGTACCAAAAGAAACCCCGGAGTTGCACTGGGTGGAGCGGAATTTTCTTAGTACGTATTTTCCCCCACTAGGCAAACAAGCATCCAGCAACTCAGAGGCCTTATTGGCTCTGACCCAATCGACAGACTAGACTTCACCCCTTCACTCTTAATCCTCTCAAATCCCAAATTGACACCAGATTATGTAACTAGCACACCAGGCCACACCCATTTGGTGGAGGGTTCCAGTGCAGACTAGTTAGCTGGGGCCAAAGAACCTGGAAAACTCCCTTGGCCTTTTCCTTCAAAGCATCACAATACTGGCTGGATAATTTCCTTCAGCAAAGTGATCTGTCTTTAGGAAGGTCCACAACATTGTTTAGGCTGGAAGATGATGCTCATGTGTTTTTAAGCGAGCACTTACATTCAAGTCCTTTATTGATGATGCTGACTTCTCTAAATACAATCTTTCCAACATGATTGCTATGGATGAAACTGCAGTGTTTATGGGCCAATCATCTCAAACAACAATTGAACAGCAGAGTGCCTCCTCAGTGTACATACCCTCCACTGCTTATGAAAGTGCACATGTTTCCTGTATTTTGGCAATTCATCTGGATGGCACTAAAATCCCACCTTTAATCATTTCTAAGGCCAAGAAGGAAAAGACTGAATGTGTTTTGGGAATTTTTATTCTTGAAACTGAAAAAGCCTGGGCCACACAAGCAGTTATAAGGAAGTGGGTCTATTTAATGCTGCCACTTGTTATGCGAGAGAGCCAAAGAGGTCTTCTAGTATGGGATGCAGCCAGCACTCACCGTGCTAAAGACATGAAGACATTTCTTCACGAAAGAAAAATAGATCAAATAACGATTCCCGCAGGAATGACAGCCTATCTCCAGACTCTTGATAATTCAATAAACAAGCCATTCAAGTACAATTTGCGCATGGAAATTAATGACTACGTTGAAAATTGAATGAAGAGAAATCAGCATGGAAACTTTGTGAAACCTAAACTGCAAGAGGTGGTGACTTGGGTGAAGAATTCATGGGAGAAAAGCACTGGCAGTTGCATTGAAAATGCACTACGAGCAGGCTACCTTGACAAGAAGTACCCATTTAAGGACAGTTCGCTAAACATGAGAGATTTGGTCCACTGATTCTGAAAGAAATGGAGTACAAGAAATTCACCAGGAAATTCAGGGTTTGGATTGTTATAATGATGTTCCAGAAGATGATGACATGACTGTCATTGAATAAATGAGTAAATGTACCATAGATTGTTGTACATGGAAATAATGGTAGTAACAAGAAATTCTTAATACTGTAGGATTCAGTTTGTCTGGTTATGCTGGTTTGTGATGACAACTACTACCGTACCGTATATAGGTAATAAATTTCCTTTTTTTTTTGTTGAACAATAAATGTGTACCGTATTCTTCTTCATGGAAAAATAAGACATCCCTGAAAATAAGACCTAGTGCATCTTTGGGAGCAAAAATTAATATAAGACACTATCTTATTTTTGGGGAAACAGGGTATACTTTATCTTTTTACTTTGGTGGCAGTATTGCAGGGTTTAAGGCCTTGGGGCTTCTTTAGAGGTTGTTGATGATGGAAAGGGTTAACTTGGAGATGATGGTATGAGATGATTCTCAGACTAAGTCCACACTCCATCTGCCATCACATGAAGGGAGGGACCACTAATATGTGGCAAGGCTTCAAGCTGAAGTTACAGCTTCTCTCTTTTCCCCCTACATCAGTGGTTCTCAACCTTCCTAATGCCACGACCCTTTAATATAGTCCTTATGTTGTGGTGACCCCCCAACCATAAATTTATTTGTGTTGCTACTTCATAACTGTAATTTTGCTATGGTTATGAATCTGGCGACCCCTGTGAAAGGGTTGTTTGACCCCCAAAGGGGTCATGATCCACAGGCTGAGAACTGCTGCTCTATGTAAACAATGAAGACTACAATCTCCCAACATAAGTCACCTTTCCAAGCCTCTGCAAGAATCTAATCATTAGGCACTTTTTGTTTTCCCTCTTTGGGGGCCGTGTTGAAGGAGCAGCAGTCAAAATGAAGTTCAGTGACTTTGGACCAGAGCAAAACCAGTAAAAGGCATCTCAATGCACTTCCCCACGTTTGCAAAAAGATTATGTCTCCCTCTCTTTCCAAGGGACTGAGACAGAAATACAATGTTTGGTCCATGCTCATCTGCAAGGATGATGAAGTTCAGGTTGTGCAGGACCATTACAAAGGTCAGCAGATTGGCAAAGTGGTCCCGGTTTACAGGAAGAAACCGGTCATCTACATTGAACAGGTGCAGTGAGATACAGCTAATGTCACAACTGTCCCTGTGGGCATTCACCTGAGCAGGTTGGCTATCACAAGGCTAAAACTGGACAAAGACCACCAAAAGGTCCTCAAACAGAGGAAAGGGGCTAATAAAAGGAAGAATCGCTCAAGAAGATGCAAGAGTGAAATAATCTTGTATACAACGTCCATTAAAACTAGCAAAATAGAAAGAAAGAAAAAAATCTAACCTTTATAAGAATATAGAAGGGGGGGGTGTATCCTTGACAACCCCATGAGGCAAATAGTGTGTTCCCCTATTAGTGATGAGACTGGCAGGTTCATCGCTATGAAGTGGCTGGGGTTGGTCTCTGAATTTAGGTTTTAGCTGTCGTGCCTCAGGGAACAGGTCTGCCATGGAGAACCACGGACCTTTTGAAAAATTTTCTATAAAACAAAGCCAAAAGCTCAGATACCTATAACACAGTAGAAAGTAGTGAAGCAAAAATGCATTTCTTGTTCTGAGTGATTGAAACGGAGGCTTGAATTATTCCTTTCCCAGTGTCTTCCAACACATGCCTGCCAGCATTTTATTAAACACTTCAACCTCTCTTCTTGGAGTTGGATATAAATTCGTATGCCTAGACTTCACCAAAGTCTGCAGTCAGTTCTTTCTGCACACTCCTGTAGAGCCCAGGGGCCATAGTCGGTTACACATTGGGCTGCTAACTGCAAGGACAGTGGTTCAAAACTACCAGTCACTTACTTTCTATTCTCATAAAGATGCACAGCCTCAGAAACCCACAGGGACAGATCTACGCTAGAGGGTCACACTATGAGTTGGAATCACTGGGAAGGCAGTGAGTTTGGTTTGTTGAATACGTCCGCCGCCCCTCGAGTTACCATCTTTCTCGTGGGTTGGCGTGTCATTCCTTCCTTGTCAATCTAACAGCAGGAACGTCAACTAGCTTGAGGTTCTGCAGTCTGTAGAGAATGTTTGCCGTTCATGAAGGGGCCTTGAGGAGCGCTGGTTGTGATGTGGGTGAGGGAGTGGGCTGCTGGCTGCAGCAAGGTCGGCAGGTCAAGACCAAGAGCACATGGGGATCCTTTTGCGTGGGGTCACCTGGAGTCTGAAACTTGACAACAATGGAAACAACATGGGAAAGGAGTTTGGAGGCCCTCTAAGAAGAAATCCCGTCATTACCTACCTTCTGATGGGCGAGGACCAAGGATGGGGTGTAGACAGATCATTCCGCGCCTAGGACAGTTTGGTACTGGGCCATGGCAGAATTCATTTGAGCAGTCTGAAGACACTCAGAGAATGGCAGCGATGTAATCAGACACTGAGAAGGTGAAGAGAGACCTTCACGGAGGGAAGAAAGACTGATCAGCTCTCAGAGACTTCATCAATATTATTTCTTAATTTACCACTTAATAATTCAAGTCAAGAATGTCTTAACAGGTCTAGCAGAATATATAGATATAGTTAAGGAAATGCACTTATAGTTTCTTTGTGTTTTGTTATTTTCAGGACCATAAATTAGTCTCCCTATTGCCTGATTTATTTCATTACTTTTAAAAGATTTTTCTCTCCACTTCAACAAATAGCAGCATTCATACTTAGATGCACTGAGTAGAACGGTTGTGGCATGTAGGGGACATTACCTAAGGATAGCATTCCTGTTGATTTCAGTCCTTATGTTTCACCATGGCTGGTGCCTAGAGTATGTCTGAGTAGCATTTTATCAGAAAACTAGGATGATGAAACTAGAAGGTCCAAACCACTTGTCCTGAGTGATGTTTCATCCTCTCACTCCCTCCTGACACCTTCATTGTGTCACCCTGCTTCCCATCAGTTACTTTCCAACACTCTCTCTTCCTCTCCAGGCTCTTGTGCTTTCGTTTCAGCTTCCCTCACTGACTGAAGGCCAATTCCTGAGAGCACTGTTTAACACGGCCAGCATCTGGTTACTAATCCAAAACAAGGCATGTTGCAATTGTCTTTGAAAAGGAAAAGAAATCGAAGTCTAGCATGAATACCAATGTGTTTGACAATATCTCCAGAGAATGAGCCTGACCAGATGTATAAATTTCATTTTAAAAACTAGGATCTTTGACAAGCTATAAAGTAGATTGTTTAAAAAAATTTTAATCAGTAGTTCTATGACAATAGTAGGATTTCTGGTCCCACTGAGCCTTGTTTTATACTTTATACTATTTGTTAGCCAGTATCAATTCCTTATTGTAAAAGTTGAAAACAAAATTTAAATAAATTTCAAAAGATAACATAAGCCATCTTT